TGTTTGGTTACTGCCTATTAGACTTTCCAAATTGATTTTGCCATTTCAGCAATTGAAGCTGCTTAATATCTAGATAGCATATTGTGTCAAATTTGACACAAGGTCAAGGCGATTTATTTGGAAATTTGAATAAAACGTCATAGGTTTTAACCCCAGAAAACGCACAAAAATTACCAAAATATAAATCAGTGTTGTCAAGAGCGTCCGTTTTAACCGCTTAAGCGGTAAAGCGGAGCGGTCTGCACCTCTGGCGCTTCAGTAATTAGTGAAGCGCCAGACTTTAGTGAAGCGAGAGTGAAGCGCCCGCTTCACTGCTTAAGCACCTAAAGCGCGAAGCGCCCAAAGCGTTGGCTTTTTCTCTTTTGTTCAATTTGACAAAATTATCCAATTTAACCTTAAATTTTAAGGGTAAAATGGTACTTTAACATTTTTTTTCCCTAAATAAAACCCTAAAACACCTAAAATTGGATCTGAATCAGTCCCGACACTGCCGCTGCTGCTTCTTCTTCTTCTTTTTCTTCTTCTTCCTTCAAGATCCAACATCTTTCTTCAAGATCGACCCTGTGACAAGAAAGATCCACATTTTCTTCTCTTCTTTTTTGCTTTCTTCAAGTTTGATTCTCTCATTCCTTTCAAGTTCCAACGTTCTTTCCTTTTTTTCTTCTTTTTTTGCTCTGTTTTTTCCCCTACTTCTGCACTTGCTGTGTTTCCTTTTGCAAATGGAAACAACTTCATCTAGGTCCAGTAATAAGAAAGATCTTGGTTGGAAATACAATTCTTTGAAGGATCCTAGTAAACCCAATTATGTTACCTGCAATTTTTGTAATAAAACAACTACTGGGGGAATCAATCGAGCAAAGCAACATCAGATGGGGCGTTTGGGTAATGCTACAGTTTGTCCAAAAGTCCCACAAGAGGTTAAGGAAGAGCTGTGGAATTATTACAACGAGAAGAAGTCTCAAAAATCCACCGGCTCCTCAGGTTCTTTTCAGATGTTTAATTATTTAGAAGATTGCAGAATCGGTGATGATGATTTGGATGAGGTTGAGTTAGTTGAGTTTAATGCAAGTGGTAAATGGTTGTTGACTGCAAAATCTGGGGTTGGAATGCAGGGTAGTGGGAAGAAAACTAAAGGCCTGATGGATTTGTTTTTGATGAAACCAGAAACTATAGTTCAAAAAAGAAAAGAAAGCAAAATGAGGCAAATGAGTATAAAAGATAGTGATCCAGAAGCAAGAGCTAGGATTGTCCAGTATATAGCTAGATTTTTTTATCAAGCTGGGATCCCATTTAATGTAGCACGTTTAGATAGCTTCAAATATATGGTAGAAGCTATTGGGAGGTATGGTCCAAATTTAAAGCCTCCTAGCTATCATGAGTTGCGGGTTCCATTGTTGAAAAAGGAATTGCAGCTTACAAATGATATGCTAGAGGATCACAAGAAGAAATGGGCAAAGTATGGTTGCTCAATTATGTCTGATGGTTGGACAGATAGAAGACAAAGAAGTATAATGAACTTCTTGGTGAACTGTCCAGCAGGCACAATGTAGAATCTGTTGATGCATCTTCTTACATGAAAACAAGGGATAGATTGTATGAGTTACTTGATGCTTTTGTGGAGAGAATTGGAGAGAAAAATGTCATTCAAGTGGTCATTGACAATGGCAGCAATTATGTCTTAGCAGGCAAATTGCTACAAGCTAAAAGAAAGAATTTGTTTTGGACTCCATGTGCAGCCCATTGTGTGGATCTCATTTTAGAGGATATTGGAAAGCTGCCAAATATAAAAAGAACCTTAGAGAGAGCCATTTTTCTAGTTGGGTTTATATACAACCACACCTCTGCCTTAAGTTTGATGAGAACTTTCACAAAAAAGAAAGAATTAGTTAGGTATGGGGTCACTAGGTTCGCTACAACCTATCTTACTTTGGAAAGGGTTCACAAGCAAAAGCTTAACCTTAGAAAGATGTTCACATCAGATGAGTGGATGAAAAGCAAGTTTTACAAAGAAGATAAGGGTAAGAGGGCTACTGATGTTATCTTAATGCCTTCTTTTTGGAATGAGATTGTGTATGCCCTTAAAGTTATGGGTCCTTTAGTGGGTGTTCTTCGCCTAGTTGATAATGAAAAAAAACCAGCAATGGGTTATATCTATGAAGCAATGGATAGGGCCAAGGAAGCCATTCAAAAGGC